GTTTTTTTTTTTTTTTTTTTTTTTTTTTTTTTTTTGCCTTTCTTCATCAGGTACAGGAAGAAGTCGAGCTTCTCCAAAACCTTCACAGAAGGTGAGCAGACGGAAAGACTTCAAAGGGTCGTCGGGGTTTAAAGAGACAGACACATGTTTTATGTGTGGAGCCTGTGTGAAGTGTGTTGGTTTGAATTTTGTTTTTGCGTGTTTGTGTTTCACCTCAGAGGAACTGCATGCAGAAGTCTGCTACGCCGAGTGTCTCCTGCAGAGGGCAGCACTCACCTTTCTTCAGGTCAGCGTTTGGACATTACTGCTTTTATTTAGTCCGCCACCGTGTTTGTTTTGTTTTTTTGTTTTTGAAAATTGTTTAAATTCCTTCTTGATCTTTTACCGGTTCAGGATGAAAACATGATCAGTTTCATCAAAGGGGGCATCAAAGTGAGAAACAGCTACCAGACGTACAAGTGAGACTCCCTGACATTAACACTAAGGCTCGGGTCTTTTCCTGCTTCTCCCTCATCACTTTGACACGCTCCTCTTTGCAGAGAGCTTCATGGTGTCCTCCAGTCTTCCGGGTACACACATGGCGACAATCATGGTCATTTTGAGGGCGGTGTTAAACTGGGAGTTGGCGCTTTTAATTTAGTAAGTCGTATTCTAAAAGTATGAGTTTATAAATGGTTGTTTAATGTTTCACAAGCATAAAGCAAAGTTTAAAATGCAGTCGGCTGTTTGTATGTCGTTTTGTCATGCTGTTGCACTGTTTAGACAAAAGGTTAGATTTTTATTTATCCTGCTTGTCTACTTCCTGCAGATGATCTCTATGCTGCCCACACGGACGCTCAAACTGCTGGAGTTTGTTGGCTTCTCTGGTAACAAGGTGTGTCCTGCTGAAGGCAGATAAACATATGAATCTCTTTTAGATGTTTTCTAAGAAGGTGAAACTTTCTGCTCTCTGTTAAGCATAACTAATCCCCCGTTTACCTGAAGTAAATAATATGTGTCATCAGGTCTCAACAGTGCAGGATCGACTCATTCCTTGAGATAGGAAACCCAATGTGGCCAATATTTCTAATGAAAGTCTTTACACTGCTACTGTTATGACAGTGATGACCCCGACACCTTTAATGGAAACAAACTTCTCAACTTTTAACTGACTTATCATAACTAGAGAAATTTCATTTCCTGTAAATGCCTGTTACTGAATGATGTAGCTAGAAGAAGTGGAAGTATTTTTAAATTTAACTAGTATTGCCTGCTGAATTTTAACAGTAGAGGTGGAACCCAAAATGAGCAGAATGATTGCTGATATTTGCTGAAGAACCCAAACTGTGAAAACAAAAGTTTTAAGGGGCAGATAATAGCTGAAAAAGGCAGAAATAGGCAGATAAAAAGTAAAAGGAGTAGAAATATAGCTGAAAGGGGCAGAAATGGCTGAAGAGGACAGAAAGAACAAAACAAAAATAAAGTTTAAAGTACCAGAAGAAGACATTGAAATTAGCAGAAGAATAGCAGAAAAAGTCAGAATAATAGCTTAAAGGCCCTGTGATGGACTTGCGACCTGTCCAGGGTGTACCCCGCCCCTCGCACTGTGACTGCTGGATATGGGCATCAGTGACCCACGCGACCCTGAAAAGGAAGAAGCGTGTTCAGAAAATGGATGGATGGATGGATGGATAATAGCTTAAAAACCGAAATGGGCAAAATAGAAGCCGATGGAAGCAGAAATTAGCACAAAAATGTTTCAAAAAGGCAGAGCCAAAACAAAATGTAAGAAGTACAGTAAAGATGTGTGAACATTTAGAAGGTTTTTAAGGATGTTGAAGACAGCTCCATTCATTTTCAATAAGAAAACAAAATGGCAGAAAAACCTAATTATCTCAAAAAGTAGAAAGTGTTTAAGTATCAAAAGTCATAGCTGGTAGGAGCTGAACATTTTTGATAAATTAACTGTTAAATAGCACAAAAATAGTGAAACGAGATATGTGCCAAAAAGCCTACAGAAGAAAAAAAAGATCTTGATATGAGTAACAACATCCGAACGGTTTCTCTCTGTCTTTTCTGTGTGACTGAACTACGCTTCTGCTACCAAGAAATTTGGTTCGTACAATACATTACTGAAAGTGAAAGTCTCAGGTTTTTTCAGGTTCTTTACAACAACAGTTATGAAGAGTTAACAGTTATTTAGAATGTTGTGTAAAATGTTAATAAAAACAGAATGCAATGATCTGCAAATCTCATAAATCTGTATTTTATTCACAATGGAACATAAACAAATCAAGTCAGTTTTTTGCAGACTGGTGAACCTCTCTTCTTTATTTCTGAGAGATTTAGCCTCAGAAATACCCTAAGTTTTACTTCAGCCTACTCATTTTTATACAGACGATGACCTTGTGACATTGTGATGACCTTATTTTAATGAATTTTCTTTTTTTCTGTATTTTTACTCTTTGTTCTTTTATTATTGATTGTTCTTTTTTATGTAATTTGGACTACAAGTCTGTAATAAATATCTATCTATCTATCTATCTATCTATCTATCTATCTATCTATCTATCTATCTATCTATCTATC